GTATACTAAGTTATAAATCATATTTTATTAAACATTTTCTCATAAAATCATTATTAGTTTGATTGTTTCTAGCATTATTAGTTTGATTGTTTCTAGTGCATTATATTGATCCTAACAAAGTATTATGAATGCGAAATTCATATATAATCTCGGAAATTCATTTTGTCTTGCCAAGTTGACCTATGATATGGTCACCCGGGATGCAACCTAATTTATGTCATATTTTTTGTTTATTGTTTTAGAGACGGCCTGAAAGTAATACAGTAATTTAATTTAGTTAACCCATATAACCCTTTTTTTTCTATTTTCTTACATTTTTTGTTATTGTTATTATTTTTATAATGATAGAGTTTATAAATAAACACATAATTACAACTCGAAAAAATTAGTAACGGCCAATAGCCAAGAAACAACTACACTACAATACACCCACAAGAGTTAATACTATAATACTCCCACTAGTGAAGAATTCTAGCTCCCACAATAGGAAAATTTTAACTCCTAAAAATGAGAACAAAACTACAAATCAACACTCCCCACAAAATACAAATGGAGAATTCTAGCTCCCACAATAGGAAAATTTTAACTCCTAAAAATGAGAACAAAACTACAAATCAACACTCCCCACAAAATACAAATAACTAACTGTAGACATCGAAATTTTAATATTTTATTAATTAATGTCTTTATTTATTTTTGGGACATAAATCCAAGATAAATAAGATTTTAATTAATAAAGTAATGGTTTCTTGCCCACCAAGTCAAATCTTAGGATAAGGAAAGAGATTATATCAAATCCTAGGATAAGGAAAGAGAATATATCAAATCAAGAAGGACCAATCAAATTGATGTCTTCTTTTCCAAGACTCTCTCTCCTACACCTATAAATAGGGCTCTCCTCAATCCCACAAATAACGCCTCAAACGCCTCAAACACCTCAAAACACATCTCAAAAATCAAAGTCTCAAATTCAAGCGCTCTCAAGAATCCTCTTGAAGATTTGAAGAAGTTCTTGAAGAACCGTCCGAGGTCCGTTCAATGAAGAAGAAGGCCAAGAAGAAGAAAGAAGAAGAAAAAGAGGCGACGACTCTTCCACAAGAAGTAAAGAGACGACTTCCACGCTTCTCAAGTCAATCCAAGAATATCAACGACGTTCAAGCGATATTCAAGCCCCGTTCGTTGAGAAGTTCAACCAACATAGCGTTTGATTCGAGAAAAAGCTATCAAGCCCTCGAGTCAACATTATTCAAGTCAAAGTCTCTCTTTCCAGAAGATCAAAGAAACAAGTTCTCCAAGAAGTTGTCTTTAATCAAGTCAAGGCCTAACATTTAATACGGGAATAAGTCATTCGACCCTCAAATTAATGTTAGAGAAATTCAAGACCAAGCCCGAAGGAGGTTCAATCATCAAATCCATCTTTCAAGGTCTCAAGCCCAAATTAATGAAGAGAAGAATCAGAGGTGATAAATAGAGATTGTACCTGCATATCGTTTGATCGAAATATAATCAAGTTGTACAAAAGTTTTATGTTTTTCATAAAATTTATTGTTACACTAACACCACCCTTTATACTATAATAAAGCCCTACTCAACCGCCAACAAAGACCCCGAGCTAGAGATCTAGAAACTCCAAAGTACAACTAACTCGACCCCGGCCAAACGTGCCAGAACCCAAGAGCCTCCCCGAAACAACACCGAAAGATTAGCACCCGAAACCACCCCGGCACCAAATAAAGATATCGACCACCAAAGGCAACGACATCCCCTCCATCGGACCCTCCACCTCAACACACTGATCCGAGGAAGCACAATGGAGGCAATCTTAGCCGCATCCGCCATAGCAGCAGCGAACGATGCCACCGACCACGAACTTGCCGCCCAAACGTAGAACCCCCACCAGGAACCCACCATGGACACCAGACAAGGGAAACCGCCTTGTCGGATGGGTTTTGACTACTGGATGGGAAACTTGCGGACATCCCAGTGTCGGTCAACTCACGATATAGAAGAGGGCCTGACGGAAAGGAGGCGGGGCAGCGAGAAGAAAGAAGGTAGAGAATTTGAGAATTTTTACCGTCGGACAAAAAAAAAAAGATTTGTAAAATCCTTCTCATCATATGTTTATTTTTATGAAATAATATTTTATGAATCATACAGTAACTTTTAGCAAAAGACAAAATATTAAGGTTTTAAATTGTAGGTTAAACATAAATTATTTACTTTTTATTTTTAAGTATAGTTGAGAAATAATAAATATTTTTTATTTTAAAAAAAAAATCAATTAGTAGATTATGCAAATCAATGTTGACATGAATGTCAGCATGTGTTAGTACCGCATTGAGATATTTTTCATATTAAAAATATATTTATCTTGGTTATTCATAAGCTATTAAATACCATAAACAAATAATATTATGACAAAGAAATTACATTAAAATCAAAATGTATTCTCATTTTATACATTCAATGCAAATCGAAGGCACCTAAACAGACGCGAAGGCCAATTTTTAGTGAAGTGGCGAAAATTAGCGTCAAATTCAAAATCTATTTAATTTGTGGATTTAATCCAATAATACTAGCTGAATATTTGTCTTTAGAATTTTAAAGAACAATAAAAAAAATAACGAATAAAGAAAAAGGAAAAAAAAAAAAAAATCGTGAGATATCTTGAATATTTTGGCGACTCGTTACAACAACACTAGCAAAGAATGTACCTTAAATTTGATCCCTTGTAATAAAGGTCCAATACATGAGCAAAATTATCTCCACAGCATTAACAGATATAACATGGCAAATATAGGGTTTACAAATTACAAACACCAAGGTTTAGATGGGCAGATATGAACTGCACACTAATTCTCATATGCAGCAGAATTAAGATAATGTAAAAAAAAAAAAAATATATATATATATAAAATTGGTATATAGACCATAAGAAAATCACTGACCCCTTTTTCTGAGCACTGACAGCAAAATTTTCTGCTAAATATGTGAATACCACCAATACTGTCTAGTATTCTTGGGCCTTTTGTCTTAATTCGTTGAGCTCTTTCTCAACATCCGGATCTTGAAACTTAAGGCTGCTAACTGGTGTCCTTCCTGCTGGAAGGTCCCCCTTCTGTAAAAATCACGATGTTTATGGGAATCAGTAACATAGTCGAGGTTTGGCTTATCCATGACAAAACACAGTTATTCAAATTTACAATTTTAGTCCCTTTGAGTCTTATGTCGCCAGTTATTGGAGATCCGATTTTCCTACCAACTTTAGATATGCATATTGGACATTATCCATTAACGAGCAGGAATCGCCGAGGTATTTGTGCAAATAGGTAAATATTGCAATTTGCAAATATCAATTATGTACTAGTTTTAAAATTATGATTCTTTATAATGGTGTGAGATCCATCATCTTGCTTTTACCGAGTAATTTGAGTGTAAAAACCCATTTGGCTGAGATATTTGGTCATCCAACTTCCAGTTCCGACAACTTTTCCAAGCCAGAGAATAAATATGTAAATTGAGACAGAAATTAGAATAGGCTACCTTTGTGCTTCCAGATAATTCTTTCTTCAAGTTAGCAAGGTCATCATCTACTGAGGAAGTTTCCAATAAAGCAAACTGCGAAACCAGAAATTTTAATATGATACTATACTGAGAGTCCGTTTGTATATAAATAAATCCGTTTTTTACTGGGTTTTTATTGTTAACCATGGTTAATTTTGGAAAGGTTGGTTTAGTTAGTTTTTAGTGGGATATTAAAATAATATTTGTAATAAAATAATAAAGTTGATTTGATGTAAAAGTAGGAGATACATGATTAGAAGTGATAGGTAGTTAAAATTATGTGAGTGGATGACTAGTGAATTAAACTTGATGTGATGTATAAGAATAAATGATTGTTATTATTTAATAATATTGACAATATTGAGGATAGCGGAGTTGAGTTAAAGTTGAGTTAGATTTTGAGTATGAACACGAGTTTTTATTATAAACAAACACTCTGAGTAATCATATTTCCTCTATTTTTAAATATATACTATCAATTGTCAGAGATCATTGGAACTGCCAAAGTAATTCGACAAAATCTATAACAGGTTCAACCCTCGAGAGTATCAGCTATATACTTAAAAAGAAAGGTACCTTTCCTTCAAGATCATCACTCGTGAGCTGATTGAGAGCTTCTGCCTCAGATTCCATTGCCATAACTGTGGATAAATAAGTGACGAGCTTTCCATGTAATTTATAAACATGTCATCAACTATTCGGTATGTTTCGGGTACGAAAACACACCAATAGAAGTACTTTTCAAAAAGAAAACTAGTTGACAAGAAAAACTTAAAATGTTGTATTGCTCAAAAGAGAACATGAACGAAGCGGTAAATGAGTTTGCAGCAATTATTGATAAGTAGTCTATTCATTAATTCATCTCACACATTACATTTCTCCCTTTTGCTCTTTATCTTGGCCCTTCTTTCCTTTTAAGTTATTACAAATTATGGGCAAACAACTTAAAATGATGTGGGTTATGATAAATTTTTTGTTGTTCCCCGCAAAACTTGGGACCATCGCTGATTTAGTGAGGAATAGGAGACTATCCCAATGGAAATATTGTTATTAATTAATAAAATGAAAATACAAAAGTACAAAATATAATACGATAAAAATGTAACAGTAATAATATAATTATAAAAAAAAAAATAAAAAAAAAACAGAAAATGAAACCTCAGAGATTGATTTGAAAGTTTAAGTGGGTCAGCTTACCTTTTTCCTCCATCTTCTCAAAAGCTGACAGTGAACTGCTTGTATTTACATTACCCAGCATTTCATTCACTTTTGTTGCGGTCCTAAATAATATGTAGTCAGTTATCTATCAGAATAAATTGATAATGGATTTGACCAATATATAATGTGTGTGTGTGTGTGTATGCGCTACAAATAACAACAAAGGAAATAGCATACTTGGCAGACTGGGCTCGCGCTTTTAGAGTATCCTTTTTAGACTTAGCTTCCTGTATTTTACTTTCCAACAGCTGCCAAATAAGACAAACGCAGAGTAAGCCAGGTGTCAAAACATGATGAACGCGCAGAGAAAAAAGGTTGCTTTAAAATATGGAATATATAGTTCGAAAATTAGTTTAACAACCTACCCTTGTATTGTTGACAAGGTTATCAACTACAGCTTTCTGCTGATCAATTTGTGCCTTCATAGCATTTGCATTATCCTGTAACATTTTGTGACAAGGTGAACCAAGAATATCAATATCGATGTCATGTAATATTTAGCCCACACCTTCTTCAATGACACATGCACCAACTAGTGGGTCATAAAATTAAACAACGTAATATAGTACCATTTATAATTCAGTGTGATATTGAGTGGGACAACTTAAATGTTTTTCAGTCATTAAAGTTGCACAATATTTTTATTCATCCATCAAGACTAATTGACCTTACTTAATTTTTTCAGTCATTAAAGTTGCACAACATTTTCATTCACCCACCAAAATATAATTGACCTTACAGAGTATGATTTTCTACGCGTCAAAGCTTCACGAGCAAGATCCTCATCACCCTTTCCAAGAGCAAGCTGTGCTCTACGGTACCTGTTTTAAAGTAAAGCCAAGTCTGAAATTCCAAATAAATAAGCCAATTAAATGCAATGAATCCATGGAAATACCAGTCCTCAGAGGCTTGCTGTGCAGCTTTATATCTGTTTTCGAGCTGCTTCTGAGAAGCCAACACCTACAGAAGGGATTTGGTCATTGTACAAAATGTCTTGATCATTAAATGTTATAGTTATTCTTTCTCATTTTAAACAAAGAAATCGTCAAAGAAAGCACCACACTTAATGAAAAGGAAAAAAAAAAA